TGACCGCGAAACAAGCAAAGATCTGTCCTGATGAACTGAAGATGGAAGGGAGCTATGGATATTCAGCACCTGGCTGCAGAAATTTAAGACAAGACAAGCATTAACTGTTTAAAGATTGGTGGTGACCAAGCATATACCAATCCCAAAGCAACAGAGACATTAATTGATGAGCTTGCCAAGGTCTTCGTTGATGAAGCTCTGACGCCAGAACAAGTCTGGAATGCTGATGCCCCGGAGAGACACTGACAACATCTAGTGAGACAGCCCTTGCAGGAATTAAGGATGCTAAGGACAGAATAACTTCTGGGATTTGCTAATGCAGCAGGCATGCATAGTGTGAACTTGCTGTGATAGGCCAAAGCTTGTGTCCTTGCTGTTTTCAAGGAACGAATTTCTTACCAGTTCATGGTTATGCTGACAAAAAAGCATAGATTATCAGAGACTTCTTTTCTGATTGGTTTCACAAACATATTGTACCAATGGCTCATGCTCACTGCAGGAAAGCTACCCTGGATGATGACTGCAAGATATTGTTTTCCCTTGGCAACTATTCTGCTCAGCCTGCAGCTGAAATTCTAATCAAAGATAATCTGGGTGCGGTGGCTCATGCTATAATCTCAACACTTTGGGAGGCCAAGGTGTGAGGATTGCTCGAACCCAGGAATTTGAGACCTTGATCCCCTGGCTGGGCAGCATAGTAAGACCTCATCTCTATGAAAAATCAAAAAATTAGTCGGGCATGGTGGCACATGCCTGGTAGTCCCAGCTACTTGTGAGGCTGAGGTGGAAAGATCACTTGAGCCTAGGAGTTGGAGGATGTGGTGAGCCATGATTGTGCCACTGCACTACAGCCTGGGTGACAGAGTGAGACCCTGACTCAAAAAATAATATGTTTAAGAGCCAGGCATGTTGGCTTATTCCTATAATCCCAGCGCTTTGGGAGGCCAAGGCAGAAGGATCATTTGAGGCCAGGAGTTTGGGACCAACCTGGGGAGGAAAAGCAAGACCTCATCTCCCCATAAAATAAAAAATGAGTCAGCCTGGTGGCACATGCCTATAGTCTCAGCTACTCAGGAGGCTGAGGCAGGAGAATTACTTGAGCCCAGGAGTTCAAGGCTACAGTGAGCTATGATCATGCCACTGTACTCCAACCTGGGTTACAGAGTGAGATCTTGTCTCTGAAAAGAAAAAAAAAGTTTATGCCATGTACGTTTCCCAAATGTGACTTCATTAAGTCAGCTGTGTGACCAAAGTATCCTTAGATCAGTGAAGAATAAATATAAAATATTTACCACAACTCTCTGCTGGCAGCAGTGGGCAGAGAGGTGTTAGTGTGGAAGGTTTTCAAAAGGACGTTAGCATGAAGGATGCTGTGTATTCTGTTGCCAGTACTTGGAACACAGTGACTAAAGACACAGTTGTGCATGCCTGACACAGCCTCTGGCCTGCGACTATATTTAGTGACGATGATGAACAAGGTGGTGATTTTGTTTTGTTTTGTTTTTTGGAGTTGGAGTCTCACTCTGTCGCCCAGACTGGAGTGCAGTGGCTGCTCCCAGCCACCGCAGCCTCAACCTGCTGGGCTCTGGTGATCCTTCCGCCTCAGCCTTCCAAGAAGCCGGAATTACAGGCAGGTGCTACCACGCCCGGCTCATTTTTGATTTATTGTAGAGATGAGGTCTCGCCAAGTTGCCTGGGCGGGTCTCGAACCTGCTGGCTCAGGCAATCCACTCACCTCAGCCTCCCAAAGCGCGAGATTACAGGCTGAGCCACCGAGCCCGGCTAAGGTGGTGATTTTGAAGGATTACATATGTCAAGTGAGAAAAGATGATGTCTCGTCTCCTTCGAATGCAAAAAATATACCTTCAGAGTCCATCAGCAAGCTGAAAGAAGTAGATATCAAAGTTTTTAACATTGTTATGAGGCTCCATTCATTGAGCGATGGTGAAATAGTCCAAAACGGTTCTGAATGAAGGTTATTGTGATTATAACGGAGATGATGTTAACGCTGCAGAAAAAGTGCCTATAGATGACTTAGTGAAAGGTGCGATGGGTTTACGGAAGGACTAGAGCAGTGTGCTCTCGTGACAACAAGATATGTTCGTGTATGAAACCGAAGAGAGACTTCTGAGACAAAAGTAGTTGTTAATGAAGCGGATGACTCTGGAGGAAGCTTTAAAAGCCATCCAGCAGAATGCCTCCTCCTCTCAAGATTTGCTTCCTGGTCCCTCAGCTGCTTCTGATGTTTCTTCTCACTTAACAAAGTAAACTGCAATGTCTAGTAACCTGGAGCCAGAAGCCCGCCTTCACTACTGTGGCTGTCATCTAACACTGACTCAGGTGTTCCAGTGCTGCTTAGTTACCCTACACACGTTCTCTTTCACTGTATTCACGGTACGTCATATTTTTACTGTGAAGTACTTATGCGTGAATAAGTGTAAGAAGATGATTGCTTATCAGTAGCATATAAATTCAGAGTCAGGGATGGTGATGGTGGCAGACTACCAAGGTACACATAGGTGGTAAGATAGACGCCTTTTCTCTCTGGTGCTTCAGTGTACACAAACTTGGTTTCGTGCATAAAGTTACTTAAAATATTGTATAAAATTGCCTTCAGACTGTGTATAAGGTATATACGAAACATAAATGCGCTTCATGTTAGACTTGAGTCCCATCTCCAAGATACATGTATATAATGATATTCCAAAATCTAATAACATCCAGAATGTGAAATATTTCTGGTCCCAAGCATTTCAGATAAGTGTTACTCAACCTGCACCACCTTTTCAGAGACTTTTCTGCCACAAGGACTGCTTTGAGCCCCCCTCCGTTACACCCCGTTTTACAAATATCCAGGTGAATTAATATTTTATTCATTTATTAAGATCAGAAGTGAAGATCAGACATGATGCCCTTGTCTTGCTATGTTCGCACTCATGTGAGTGCATGGTGGTTCTTAGGCTTGAGAATATGACTTGGGAATAATACAGAGTTAGTTGCCAGTTTCAGCCTTGGAGTCCAAGTTCTGGAGCAGAGCTCCCTGGGAGTGGGCCACAAGTGGCAGAAGACCCAACTCCCACCCTGGCCTTGAGATGGCTCCAGTGCCTAAGGCCTTGCACCAGTTGCCTCTGGCTGTGCGCAGCCCACCTGAGGGCCCGTGGTTTATACGAAGCATGTCCTTTCCCATGCTTGCTGCGAGGAACGGGAGCGTGGCCAGCCCTGCCCTGCACTCCCCGACACTCAGAGCTGGACTTTTGCTGCCTCTCCGACCTTCTCGTCTCTCCATAGTTTGTGTTTTGTGTGCTCACTTCACTTCTGGCTCCACCTCATTTTCCTTGAGCAATTTCTGTAGGCAAGGTAGGCAAAGGCCTAAAAAGTCTGGTAGTCTGGGTTCGAATCCTGGGTCCTTATCTTACTGAATAGGAGGTCTTGGGCAGCAAATTACTTACCCTCTCTGACCTTTATTTTCCTCATCTGTAAAACAGATATATAGTAGGTACTCTTTTTTTTTTTTTGAGTCAGAGTCTCACTGTTGCCCAGGCTGCAGTGCAGTGACACGCTCACAGCCACCACAGCCTCAATCTGCTGGGCTCAGGCGATCCTTCCGCCTCAGCCTTCCAAGTAGCCAGAATTATAGGCGGACACCACCAGACCCAGCTAGTTTTTTGATTTATTGCAGAGACGAGGTTTCGCCAAGTTGCCCAGGCTGGTCTCAAACCCTGGGCTCGGGCAGTCCTCTCGCCTATGCCTCCCAAAGTGCTGGGATAACAGGCTTTGAGCTACCACACCCGGCATGGTATTCACCTCTCATAAACAGGTACTTACCTCATAGAATATTGTTAGAATTAAACAAGATACTATGTAAAGACTTAACATAGTGCTTGGCACATAGTCAGTGTTCAGCAAGTATTAGCTATTAAAATATCCTTGCCACTGGGCATAGTGGCTCACACCTATAATCTAGCACTTTGGGAGGTGGAGGCAAGAGGACTGCCTGAGCCCAGGGTTTCAAGACCAGCCTGAGCAACATGGTGAGACCTTGTCACTACAATAAATCAAAAAATCAGCCAGGCATGGTGGTGCATGCCTGTGGTTCTAGCTACTTGGAAGGCTGAGGCAGAAGGATCCTGAGCCCAGCAAGTCTAGGCTGTGGTGGCCGTGAGTGTGCCACTGCACTCCAGCCTGGGTGACAGAGTGAGACTCTGGCTCAAAAACAAAAATTAAAAGAAAATAAATGCCGGGCTCGGTGGCTCAGCCTATAATCCCGCACTTTGAGAGGCTGAGGTGAATGGATTGCCTGAGCCCGTGGGTTCGGGACAACTTGATGAGACCTCATCTCCACAATAAATCAAAAAAATTAGCCGGGCGTGGTAGTACGCGCCTGTAGTTCCAGCTACAACTCAAAACACCCCCCCAAGAAAACAGTAGGGGCTGATTTATGGGGTGTTCCATGGGCCTTTTGGTGAGGAGGGGGTGCACCCGTGAGACCAGTGGTAGGTCATTTCTGTGACTGACCTGAGTTGTGAGGAATGGCGTTGGCTTGGGGACTGGGGGGTGAGCCTCTGGCTCCCTGCTGTGCTACTGTCCAGCAACAGGTAGTGCCTGATTTTCTGTCAGTTCTCTTCTTTTTTTGGGGGGGGGGTTGAAGTCTCACTCCATTCGTTGCCCGGACTGGAGTGCAGTGGCATGCTTATGGCCACCCCAGCGTCAACCTGCTGGGCTCCAGCGATCCTTCTGCCTCAACCTTCCAAGTAGCTGGAACTACAGGTGCGCGCTATCACGCCCAGCTAATTTTTGATTTATTGTAGAGATGAGGTCTCACCAAGTTGCCCGGGCTGGTCTCGAACCCATGGGCTCAGGTAGTCCTCTCGCCTCAGCCTCCCAAAGTGCTGGGATGACAGGCTGAGCCACCGTGCCTGGCCAGTTCTCTTCCTTTTGTAAAGCATGCGTGACTCCGAGCAGTTTTGTATGTCTGTGATATGAATGTCTTGTGGTTACAGGACCCAGTCAGTCCCAGAAGCAGCCATCCAGTAGCTCGGAGGAGGCATCTGGAACAGAGGAGGAAGAAGAGGAAGACGAGCCCAGCTTCATGGGGCGATGACAGCGTTTGCACAGCAGCTGTCTCGAGGCTGGCTGGTTCTGTGGTCCGAGGGAAAGGCGGCTTTTGGCTCAACCTCCCTTCCCAGGACCGGCCGCATAGAGAACATGTGGGACCCCTCCCGGACTGCTCACGGTCCCTCCCGTCAGCGGGGCTTGGAGCCCGTGGGACAAAGGGACTGTTTCCTGGACACCCAAGGGCACGCCTGGCAGACTTCATCCGTGTTCCTTCTCAGGGGCAGTGCCTAACCTGTTCTCATGGATTTGAACAGTGGTGAGATTGGGGCTGGTTTCTGTGAAGGGAGCGTTTATTTAGTAAAGAACAGAAAACTTGTAGGTTTTGCTCAGACATGTGAAGCGTTAATTACAGAAGCTGCAGGGAAGGCTGTGAAATGACATGATTGTGAGAGGGCTCAAGATTCAACAGGCCCTGTTATGTGGGCCTGCTCCCAGACTCGGTGAAGGAAGTGGCCTTGGCTGTGGGCTGACCCGTGTTGCTGGGCCTTGGACCTCCTTCCCCCGGCAGGGAGTGTGGCCGCGCCAGAGTCTGCTCCCACAACAGCTCCCGGTGCATGGTGTGTATTGGGACACCCTGGGTGTGTACGTGGTGGGGCAGGGGCTTACCCCGAGGCCTGGGCCACACGAAGGGAGCCTGAGGTGTGGAAAGAGGCTTCGGGGAAACACTTGGTGACCGGAAACATAAATGGGTGGAGAATGCCGGCTGGGCCGAGCCAGGCAGAGTGGACGACACAGGGAGTTGCAGCCGAACTGGGGTGATATGTTGGCCCAAAGCTGCGTTTTCCTCCCGCGGTCAAGGGAGTCTAAGAGAAAGGGGTCACGAGAGACGTGACTCGGTCGGGTGGGTGGGGCCCCTGGGGTGGAAGCCCTTGGAGCTTTGCACTGGGGTCCCACCGAAGCTGGGTTCAGAGGGAATGAGGCCAGAACTCCTGCTGTGTGTCCTCAGGTGATCAGGCCCAGCCTGGCTTTCATGATAACTTGCATAAGGGACCAGCGCACCCAGAGTGCAGTGCAGCCAGGTGTGCTGGTGGTGCCTGTAGCCTCCCAGCTACTCAGCAGCTGAGGCGAGAAGATCGCATAAGCCCAAGAGTTTGGGGCTGTAGTGCACTCTGCCGGCCTAGTGTTTGGTATGCCACACTAAGTGTGGTATCAATCTGTTGACCTGGGAGTGGGGACTACCAGCTTGTCTAAGGAGGGGTGAACCGGACCAGGTTGGAAACTGAGCAGGTTAAAACTCCTGTGCTGGTCAGTAGTGCGTGGCGCCTGTGAACAGCCACTGCACTCAAGCCTGCACAACACAGAGACCCTCTCTCTTAAGAAAAAAAATGATTAAGAAACAAAAAACAGTGCAGGGCGCTGTGCTGGGTGCCAGGGAACATGGGAGAAGGTGAGGTCAGCCTTTGACTTCGGATTCAGGCCTTCGGGGGTGACAGAGCCTTTGTTCCATTTTTGGATTATTTATCCCCAGCTCCAAGTTTCTAAGTATATTTTGTGCCTTTTATATACTTTAAGAGAATTAAGGAATTAGTGGTCTTGAATGAAGGGAAACATATTACTTTTTTAAAATTTTTTTATTTTTTATTTTTTTTGTGATGGAGTCTCACTCTGTCGCCGAGACTGGAGTGCAGTGGCCGCTTCCGGCCACCACAGCCTTGACCTGCTGGGCTCCGGCGATGCTGCCGCCTTAGCCTTCCAAGTAGCTGGAACTATAGGTGCGTGCTACCACGCCCGGCTAATTTTTTATTTATTGTAGAGATGAGGTCTCACCAAGTTGCCCGGGCGGGTCTCGAACCTGCGGGCTCAGGTAATCCACTCACCTCAGCCTCCCAAAGGCGCGGGATGACAGGCTGAGCCACCGAGCCCGGCTTTTTTTTTTTTTTTTTTTTACTTCCATAGTGTAGATCGCCCTGGCCCCACTCAGAGCCATGTGACATCTGCGATAACTTCTGTCCCTTCAGTGGTTCAAACCACAGGAATTTTTCTTTCCCAGGAAGCTGACGTGGAGAGTCAGCCCTAATAAATTAGCAGATGCCCTAGTCGTACATTTTGAAACCTGTGATTCTCTTTCATCGGGAACTGGCTGGTTCGTTCTGCTTTGCTTTCAGTCCTGTCTGTGGCCTGTTGGTGTCCTTCGCTCCCCGCCCCATTTGCTGTCTGTCCCAGCTCTTGCTTTGAGTCTGCAGCCAGGAGCTCATGGGCATCTCTGGAGGCTGTTGAGGGTGCCAGAGCTTGGAGCCCTGAGACCTGGGTTTGAGCTCTGAGCCTGCCTCTGCTCAGTGAGGGGACTGTGGGCGGTCCCTTGCTGCCTCTGCCAGTTCACTTGGCCAAGAGCTTAGGGTGACACGCGCAGCAGCTGTGTGTTGGCTGGGTGGACAAACGAAGAAGCAGGTAGCGAGACGCCAGGCCAGATGTTGACCTTGGATGCTTGCGCTGGATCGCAGAGGATGATGTCCAGGCCGGACATGGCCTGTAGCAGTCTCTGACCGTGTTAAAGAGGTCGTCAGGGCCCTCGGTTGAATGGCTCACTTGGTGGAGATTTCTTCAGGGTATTATTGGTTTGAGAAAAGAGGAACCAACGGGTGTCGTCATTCAGGAGGGTGTGGGTGATAGCCAAGAGTCCCTGCTCCCTCAAAAAGCCACAGTTGGGAAATTCATGAAGTGATGCCCTTGGTGGCTTACGGATGGGAGGAGTCTGGAGGACAACTTGTTGTCTCAGGAACCTTCGTGTGTGAGGACACTGACTTCCCAGGCAGCCTTCATTCATTCACTCGCCCAACAAGCACCCACTGAGCTCTTCGCAACAACCTGCGTCGATTCTTGGGATGTGTATTAGAATACTCTTTGCCCTTCTGTGAGATTTCCCACAGGGCTTACCAAACAAGATGTGTAAACAGAGAAGGGTCTGGAAACTTGCCCAGGAGAAGTGGTGGAGCTGGAGTTTAAATCCAGCTGCAACATCAGGCCGATGCGGTGCTCTGGAGAGAAGCTGTGTGTAGCCCACACTTCCAGGTGCACTTTCTTGATGCCAGGGCTGTGGACTGCAAGTCCCTTCTTTATGAGCTCTCTGGTGTACTGTTGTGTGTGTGTAATAATAGCATATCATATTATGGTTTTTAAGTAGAGTCGACTCTCATTATTCATAGATTCCATATTTGTAAATTTGTCTTTTCCCTTTTTTTTGTAAGTCGAGGTTTCTCTCTGTTACCCAGGCTGGGATGCAATGGCACAATCTTAGCTCATTGCAGCCTTGACCTCTTGGGCTTGAGTAGTCCTTCCACCTCAGCCTCCCAAGCAGCTGGGACTACAGTTACAGGCCACTATGCCCAGCTAATTTTTGTATTTTTGTAGCAACAGGGTCTCACTATATTGCCTAGATGGTCTTGAACTCCTGGGTTTAAGCAATGCTCTCACCTCAGCCTCCCAAATTGCTGGGATTACAGATATGAGCCACCACAACTGGCCTCTGGGTTCACTAAAATCTATTTATAACCCCAGAATCAGTACATTCAGTCATTTGCAGACAAAGAGTGTAAAAAACGTGAATTGCCCAACAATGCCTCTGTTTCAGCAGGGGCTGAATGAGGCAGTGCTCTGCTTTCCTGTTTCGGTGCATACTGCAAAGAGTTCTGTTTCATGATCTACTCAGTGGCAAATTTTCTGCATTGTCTAGGTGATTTTGCTGTTTAAAGTGTCCGCATCAGCATCGTGTATGTGTGTGTGTGTGTGTGTTTCAGGCAGTTAGTGTTTACGAGCCAGCCTGGAACGTGGGGGTAAGTATTTCCTACAGCAGGGAAGCATACTTTGCACTCCTTGCCAGGGTGCCCACCTGGAGAACCAGGCAGCTGGACTGATGGCTCCCACTCTGAACGTAGGAGCACAGGTGTCACCTGGGAACCCAGCACGGGCTCCTCAGCCTTAAGCTCTTCCAGTTTCTAAAAGAGTTTCCATGTGTCCTCTCCTCTCAGACCTTGGCCCCTGCCTCTTCACCCCCTGCCTTTTGCAGCCTGCAGCCCGCCCCTCACCAGCCCGCTCTGCCTTCCTTCTTGGCCCGGGGCAGGACCATCCCCGCCCGTCTCCCACGTCTCTGCTCACTGTCAGCAGACTGATACGCCCTGGTGTCTCCAGCAGACAGACACGCCTGGGTGTCTCCCGTGAGGAGCTAACAGAAACCCTGTCTGTGCTGTAGCTACCCTCCATCTCTCTCCTCCGCTGCTCAGCCAGACTCCTGGAGTGCTGTTTGCTTCCACCTCGTCCCTCTCATCCCACACCAAGTGTTTTCCGCACCATCCCACTGAGATCCTTCTAGGCTTGCTGAATCCAGCCCCTTGGCGGCCTTTCACACCAGCGTTCCTGTCAGTACCCCTCCAGGCTTGCTTTCCTCTGTTCGAACATAAGTGATGAGATATGTTCGAACATAAGTGATGAGCTGTCTTCTCTTTTTTCCTTTTGAGTCAAGGTCTCACTCTGTCTCTCAGGCTGGAGTACGGTGGCACGATCTCAGCTCATAGCTGTCTCAACCTCCTGGGCTCAAGCGATCCTCCCGCCTCAGCCTCTCAAAGTGCTGGGATTACAGGTGTGTGCCACTGCACCTGGCTGAGAGCACTGTCTGCCCTCCGTCAACACCCAGAGACTTTATTTAACCTGTAGCTTTAACTACCATCCTCACTCCTGAGTTATCTGTAGCTTCAACTTCCCTCCAGACTCATGTCCAACTGCTGATTGACACCTCCCTTTGGGTGTCCAGTGGTACTGCAGCTTAGTATAAGAAGAACTTGAAGCCGGGCTTGGTGGCTCAGCCTGTAATCCTGCGCTTTGGGAGGCTGAGGTGAGTGGTTTGCCTGAGCCCGCGGGTTCGAGACCCGCCTGG